TCTGTTTCCACACCTTTCAGTCTAGTAAACTTAAAAACTTCTCATCCCCTCCAAACCATGTAGGTTTCCAGTTGCCTTTTGAAATCTAAATGTGAATATTTGGCCAAGTAGGAAGCTTCTCTTTTTGTCTGTGAGCCTGATGGATTTTTTTTTCTTATGCTCTGAGGTCTTTCTGTGTTTCTTGTCCTTGAAGTGGACATGAAACTTTTGCCTATGCTAACATTTGCTCAGTAAAAAATACCCTGAAGTGCATTACCTGCTGAGTTTAAATTGCATTTTTTGAGCTAATGGAGAATGCTAGTTTTCAGGAGAATTTTGGGGGGAAATCGTTCTTTGGGATTTCTGCTAGATAGTAGTTTCAGAATTTATGCAGGGTGTGAGTATAGTACCAAATACTGTTTTTCAGATATTCATGCAAGCACTGGAGTGTTTCTCGAAGCATATTATTTGTGTCCAGCTGTGTTTTGTGTTACTCAGACATTTGCTTTTTGTTCCCCCATCTTTTTTTCTCCCTGTTCTGCTGTGTGAACTGCAGTATTCCTGGAAGCTGGTACACCCAACTGACAAATACTCTAATAAAGATTGTCCTGACAATGCAGAAGAGTATGAAAGAGCAACAAGATACAATTATACTAGTGAGGAGAAGTTTGCTTTGGTTGAGGTAAGATAAATGTTTGGTTTTTTAATAGAGATTTTCGAAAGATTAATTCTATATTAAGGAAAACATTCTCTATAAACATTTTCTATGCCAGTGCAAAAAGGCAGCATGCCCTGTGCTGACTCTGAGTCAGCATGTGCTCCTTCATTCAGTATGTAAGAGGAACACAGGAAAACTATCCTTTGTCTTTTGGAACTTGTCAATTCCCCTTTTCCCGTTTTCTGTATTTAGAAATGGGCTTTTTGAACAATTCTGCAAACAAAATAAGAAAAATGCAGTTGTTTGGTTGGTTTTTTGCAGGTGATTGCCATGATCAAAGGTCTTCAGGTGCTGATGGGACGGATGGAGAGTGTTTTCAATCATGCCATTCGTCATACTATTTATGCAGCCCTTCAGGACTTTGCCCAGGTCACACTTAGAGAGCCACTAAGACAAGCCATTAAAAAGAAGAAGAATGTCATTCAGAGGTAGCGTTCTTGATTTCATCTTCTTCTTTATTCTTTCCCCCAAACCTTACTCAATTTTTTTCAGAATTGCACAGCTGTTCAATTCTGCCTCTTTAAGTCTGTACTCCCCTGCTAATGTGTCTGGTACTCGTAGTCAGCTTGGCTGGGTATGTGTTGGAAGTCTGAAGAAGTCTGAAGTTAAGGGATGGCTGCCAGCATGGCTGCTGCAGGAAGTGTTCCCTGTTGTTTGTTTTCATTTTAAGGAAATAAAAATACTGTAATATTGAAAGAAAGATTAGTATTTTGATTTGGAAGGAAGATGTTACTGTCCAACACCTTATGATTCCAGTGTTCCTCTCCTTGTGTCTCATGTTTACATCATGCTCCATGATCTTCTCTCTTAGCATTCTGCCTGATTTCTCAGCTTCTGTTTCTTTTGTCTTATTAGTCTTACACTTCTCTTCCAGTGCTCCATCTGCTCACACCGATTGGTGACATTTCCTGACCTTATTTTTTTAGTCCCTAAGTGTTTGCTTTTAATCTTGACTTGCTTACCATTTTTTACTCCCACATTTCATTGCAAAGCTCTTAGAGGTGAAAGTCCTTGGCTAATTAGACTCACACTAAAATCTCTGACTGCCACAAAACTACCATCATAAGCTAAAAATAAACAAATTACTCCAAATTATCAGGTTTGCAGGGAGAGTCTTTTTATCCCAGGATGTTCACGAGATGCAAAGGATTACTTTTGTAGTACCTGCTCAGATTTGGGAGGAGACATTTCCTCAGTCATTCAGCATTTCACAGGATACAGCTGGCTGTGTCCTGACAAATATCTGAGTTCCAGCTCAGTGTTTGGAGCTAGGAGGAGGAAGCTCTTTGTATAAATTCCAGCTGAATTCTGGAGCTCTCCTGAAAACTAGAGTTGTCTCTCTTTAGTTTGGTTAATAATATGCTTTGGTTTGATTTACTATGAATATGAATAGAATTAATTCATATATTCATATTGATATGAATTTGGTTTGGTTGAATTTTAATTCAACTTCCCATCTGGAGTATTGCTCCCAGCTTTGAGGTCCTCAGCACAGCAAAGATGTGGACCTGTTAGAAAGGGTCCAGAGGAGGCCACGAGATGGTCGGAGGGATCAAGAGAGGCCGAGAGAGCTGGGGTTGTTCAGCCTGGAGAAAAGTCTCTGGGAAGGCCTCGTTGCAGCCTTGCAGTACCTGAAAGGGCCTCACAAAAAGAAGGGAGAGAGACAGATAGTGAGAGGACAAGGGACAATGGCCTCAGGCTGAAGGAGGGCAGGCTTAGATTAGAAGAAATCCTTTACTCAAAGGATGGTGAAGGTTGCCCAGAGGAGCTGTGGCTGTCCCATCCCTGGAAGTGTTCAAGGCCAGGTTGGATAGGGCTCTGAGCAGCCTGGGCTGGTGGAAGGTTCCTTGCCCATGGCAGAAGGGTTGGATGGAACTAGGTGGTCTTTAAGGGCTCTAGACTATCCTTTTTGATAAATAACATGGAGTGACTGTTTTGTGGCTGGGGGATTAGTGACTGTTTTGTGGCTGTGACATTCTTGAAGTTGTTGGTGGAATTGTTGCTGTGAGTTACCCCGAGCTCCTGCTTGCTGTTGCAGTTTCTGTGCTTGTGGAAGAGTGTCTAAAAAGAGGAAAACGTTCTCCTCAGTGCACACACTGGTGTGAAGGGGTGTGCATTGTGTTCAGTGTCTTGCAGGCCATAAGAAAGACTGTGTGTGACTGGGAAGCAGGACATGAGCCGTTCAATGACCCAGCGCTGAGGGGAGAGAAGGACCCCAAGAGTGGGTTTGACATCAAAGTCCCAAGACGTGCAGTAGGACCCTCCAGTACTCAGGTATTTTCCTGTCTGGTGCTTGTGATATCTGTCAACAGTTGTTGCATGAGGTGTTTTCTCTCTGTCCTGAATGATTTTAAAATTGAAGGTTTTATTGTGGGGTTTTTAAATGCTAAAAATCTACTCTGAATTATATTTACAAAAATATATATGCTTAACCAAAATCCTCTCTCTGGATTGCTGTAACTTTCTGCTCTGATGCATAATTTTTCCAAGTGTTCAATCTCCTTTAATTTGATCTCCTGGGAAAAAAATATTTTCTCATTGAGCACCTAATTCTTTTAAAATATTATTTTTGAACTATTTGGATTATCTCTTGACTGACTTTATTCTCTGGCATGGGTGGTGAAATTTTTTTGGTAAATCCCATTACTCAGTAGATGTCAATGTAGTTTTAAAATATGTTTGAAGTATAAATGAATGCCTGTAGATTTTGGGAGAGTGTTTGACTTCTGACAAGATCCCTCATAGTATTCAGTCATGAGTGACAGAACTCCCCAAAATCTATTTAGTCTGCTACTGCCACTAAAGCAAGAGGTATTTCAAGAGTTTTCTCTGGTTGTCATTGAAATCCCATACCCAGATGCTCATTCTTGTTGCCTCCATATAATTCTCTTATTTTATTTTATTTGTGGATTTGTTTGGAGAGTGTATGGTCTGATATTCATTGCTCATCTGAGAAAATGATCACTGGGTGAAAAATGGAAGGCAACTGGGGTTTGTGAAGACAACCTTTTAACAGCTAAAATCGCTGGGGAAGAGCATGTGTAGATAATAATCTTGGGTAATTAAAAGTTGCTGAATTTGTGATAAGATGGGTTCAATGAAGGTTTTGTTTTGGTAATCGGAAAAAATTGCCTTGATTTCTAATTTTCTGGGGAGGGAAAGAAGTTAAATATCACCACCAGTGTGCTTGTCCTGTGCTTTAAGGGCTTTGCTTCACCTGCTGCAGGCTGTTCAGTCTGTGCTCCTGTCCTCTTTCTCTCCTGGCTGGCACACTTGGCTGTCGTGGCTGGCAGGAGGAAGAGACAGCTCTCAAATCTCTCTCTTTTAGATAGTTTTTTCTCAGTTTCATGTGGTTCTAGAGTGGCTGTGTGTGAATTGGTAACGGTGATACTTGGAAATCTTTGTGAAATCATTGGCTGAGCTAATGTGTCTCTGAGCATCCTCTGGAAGGAGTGGGAGCTCCTCCCTTTGCCTGAGGAAGCCCCAGGTTGCAGTGGTTTTTCTGAACAACACCTTCTGTCCGACCTGCTCTGCATGCTTGCTGTGCTGCTTTCCATTTGTAACAAACTAACCTGTTTTCTCTGCTTCTGTTTCCCTTCCTCATTCACCCCTGTGTTGTTATTAACGGATTCTCTCCCCCGCCTGCCCCTGTCTGTTGGTTTTTAGCTCTTCATGGTTCGCACTATGACAGAGTCCTTGAACTCTGCTGAGCTGTTGAAGCAGCTCAAGTCTCTGGGCCTGGAAAAGCTATTGCATGTGACACACAAGTTTCTGAGGCAGTCCTACATCTATCCGCCTCTTTTAAACTTTGGGGGTAAGACATTCCTTATTACTTCTCCTTTTTGTGGTGGTGTGTGCTGTTTGCTGCAGGTGGTGCCAGTGGAGGTGCCCTTGGTGCAGGTGCCCTTGGCAGGGGTAGGCTCTGTCTGCTCTGCTCCTCTCGCCCCGAAGGTTTTAGCACACGGTGCCAGTGTTCAGCTGGAGGAGGAGCAGTCGCTTACCGATAGATACATTCTCAGTGTTGCTCAACTAATGTACCATGTGTATTTTCCTTTTTTCCCCACCCCTTTCCACCGTAATTGTTTCCTTTAATGATACAGCTTTACATGGTGAGAACCATGTTAGAGTCCCTCATTGCTGACAAAAGTGGTTCCAAGAAAACCTTGAGAAGTAGCCTTGAGGGGCCCACCATATTGGACATAGAAAAATTCCACCGCGAGTCTTTCTTCTACACTCATTTGATAAATTTCAGTGGTAAGATATGTAGCTGATCAGTGTCCAGCTTAGCATGTCCTAACACCTCTAACACGACCTGGAAAATGTTTCCGATTGCCTAAGCCAACTTACCTTTGGTCTATTTATCAAAAGCCTAAGTCTGTCCAGACTTTTTCTGAGATGTGGTACTTAGCATTGTGGTGGGATTTTTATTTTGACTTGTTCTGCGTTTGTTTTTAATGTGTCAAATTCCATATTGTTACCTCCCTTTTCTATTTTCTTTATATATGTATTTATATAAACAAGGGACAGATAGGCCTGTACAAACTGAAATTTTAAAAAGGAAGCATTTTTTGTGTTTTGGGGGATTTTTTTTTTGTTGTTTTTGTTTTAAGTACAGAGGAAACAAATTCTCTGTTGTGGTAAATTTGATGTCATTTCACTACTCTTGCTATTCAGTTAATTGTAATCGGAAACATGCTGTCCTAAAGAATTCACCTACTGACATTGAGTGTACCTAGTCTTTGTCATCACCATGCTGTGTTGTCTTTCATTTTTGTTTTGCCACGGGTCTCCTTTACCCTCAGAGAAGGGGAAGCCTGTTAAGGTCAGTCGTAATGCTACTGGGGAACAGCACTGCAAAAGGTCTTCAGAAGGTCTTCAGTGTAAAGTGTTCGTTCCTGCTTTGGTTCACAGGCCTTCTGCAAAAGAAGGTTTCTGTTGAGTGTTTCTGGAGAGGTGAGAAATACACCTCTGTGCCCTTGGCAGAGTCCTGAGAAGCTTGGTGGTTTAATCCTACCTCCTGCATCTGTCATTTCCTGCCCATCTGATCAGCAGGAGCGTGTGGAGTGATTCAGTCCTCCATGGGGAGAGGTGGTCCTGGTGGATCTGGTGCAGTTTTATCTCCTTCACCTGCTGGTTCCCAGGTTCAGTGTGTGGCTCTCTCAGCCCCCAGCTGAGGAGTTACATTGCACACCCTGTACTGGTGTGCATGGTTTTTCTGTTTAACTGATAGTCTGGTCTACTTCCACTCTTTTTTCTGTAACGAGGCACCACTTTGGGGGCCAATGTGGAGTTCAGAACTCATTGAAAAAGTCGTGGGCTTTACATTTTTAATTTGGTTTACATATCTGGCCTATGTATAGCTGTAGTGACTCACACCTGCTTTTTTTTTGTTCCACATTGCATCATCAGAATCACAGTTGTATTGTTCCTGATGTATTTCTATGAGAAGTTTAATTCTTCCTTATTTATTCTGAAAGAAACCCTGCAGCAGTGCTGTGATCTGTCCCAGCTGTGGTTCAGGGAGTTCTTCTTAGAGCTCACCATGGGCAGAAGGATCCAGTTTCCCATTGAGATGTCCATGCCTTGGATTTTGACAGATCATATTTTGGAGACCAAAGAGGCATCAATGATGGAGTAAGACCTACTTGTGCTTTTCTGCTGGATGATTATTTTTAGTGATTGCCGTTCCTTATTGTAACATTACTCTTTAATTGATTTTTAAGAAGCAGCTATTGAGAAGGTATTCTAAACCTTTATAAAATTTCCTCTTGTGCCAATTTATAGATTCTTGGAATTTTCTTTTTGAAATGAACAATTGAAATATGAATTTCTATACACATGACTCTTTTTTTTAATTCTTTTTCATTCAGGTATGTTCTGTATTCTTTGGACCTTTACAATGACAGTGCTCATTATGCACTCACTAAATTTAAGAAGCAGTTCCTCTATGATGAAATCGAGGCAGAGGTAAAGTTACCTTACCTACTGGGGAAACATAGTCTGTACCTGAATGTGAAAACGCTGCTAAAGGACAGGAGCTATACAAGACATTCAGAACAGCTGTAGATAAAAATCCTGAGAAGACTGACCAGATGATAAGCTGTGAGGAAACCTGTAGACCTGTGTGAAATGCCTCACATTAATGCTGAAAACAGAATGTCATCTTCTCTTGTACTGGGAAATTTGGGTGTATTAACTTTCTTGACTATGTTTATCAAAACAGTGGGAGGTCTTGGCTAAGATTCCCTCTTTTAAGTATCTCTAAACACAGGTTTTTTTCCCCCCAAGGTAAACCTGTGTTTTGACCAGTTCGTCTACAAGCTGGCAGACCAAATATTTGCATACTACAAGGCAATGGCTGGCAGGTAGCTACTCCAGTAGTGAGAGCTTTGATTCACACATTTCTGCTCTGCTTTGCTGTTGAATATACTTTAAGAGGTTTCTTCCTTTCTTGGTAGCCTGCTCCTGGATAAGCGGCTGCGCTCGGAGTGCAAGAATCAGGGAGCAACCATCCAGCTGCTGCAGTCCAACCGCTACGAGACACTGCTCAAACAGAGACATGTGCAGGTGAGCTAACTCCTGCTCTGCTGGATTTCAGTTGCTTGGCAGCTTTCCAGTGATGTTGATTAATGTAGGTAAACGAAACTCCTTCTGTGCTTTATGTTCTGTCATCTGAAGTGGCATAACTGACATTTGAGATCTGCGTTTTTTGCCATATGAAGGACTAAATTAAGGAAAAACCCTTAAAAGGTCATGTTTTAATGCAAATGTCTGTTGCATTTATGCAAACTCAAGCCAAATGGGAATGTCATGGGTGGTGACGTTGTCTTCCCGGTAATGTCTTTCACCAGTTTTCAATATGTTGTTGGCACAACGTCATGGAAGCATTAAATGCTGATATAAACGCTTCAATGCAAATGCAACATGTAATTTTACTTCTTCTTGTGAGAGTTGGGATGTAAATTTTATAAATTCATGAGCAAATGAAGGACTAGGTTTTGCCATCTGCTTTATCTCCGTGTGTTTGGAATGCAAGTTGACAATTTGAGAGTCTGTTAGTCTGTGCAGTCTCGTGGTCCTTGTCTAGCCTGTCCTGTAGCCTGCCTTTCAGTTCCAAACTTGGTGTTCCCCCTAGCTGCTGGGCCGGTCGATAGACCTGAACCGCCTGATCACGCAGCGCATCTCGGCGGCGATGTACCGCTCCATGGAGCTGGCCATCGGGCGCTTCGAGAGCGAGGACCTGACTTCCATTGTGGTGAGTCTTGTGCTGCCAGGGCACTGCTGCTGCACTTGGGGTCTAAGTGCTGGGTTTGTTGGAATGTAATTGATTTTAATTAGGTTTTAATTTCTTTTATTGTCATTGAGAATCACAGGCATCTAGTCTTTTTTTTCTAGATTTTTTTTTGTTAAAAGTATTAAAAATTGGTATTTGCCTTTTAATGGCAGAGGCATTAGGACTTTGGCTTTTCTGGAAGTTCTCTAAGTATACTCTAAGCAAATAGCTGTACAGTCACTCCTGAAATGAGAAGAGGCTGAATGAAAAACAGACAAACTTGTTTTGTCCTAAACCTTCATTAAATACATATAAATGAGAAATAATTTAAGCAGTCTCATTTGAAAAATAACAAAATTCTTCTCCCTGATGTTTTGTTTCAGTTTTTCTCTAAGTGTGAAATCATACAATTTGATGGCTGAAGTTTATCTGGTTTACTAAGTCTAATTGAGAAAGCCTCTTGCAGAGAAGCAGAGACCAACAGACAAAACCTCCTAGCAGCAGGAGCAGCTTAGTCATCCAAAGGCATTCTCTGAGTCACCCCATCTGTAAACTGTACTGCACATCCTCTGTGCCAGCATAGGGCATCTGTTTGTGAACGTCACTCATTCTGATGTGCCATGATGTTTTTCTCCCCATGCCTCACCCTGTGTCTCTGTTCAGGTGGTGCTTTGGCCCCATCACCCCCAGCTGACGTGGTCCCTCTGAGTGTGCTGCTGCCCCTGGGGCTGGGCAAGGCCGAGTCCTCTTGAGCCTGAGAAATTGTCCCTTGCCTGGAAAAAACCCCAAACATGCTGCACCCTTGGGCTTTGGGAGTAAAGTGTAGGGTTGCCCTGAGGAAATAAGGAAAAGGAGCATTCTTGTGATGTAAATTTTTGTAAACACCCACTTCTGTCCGTGCTTATAGATAAACTGCAGATCAAAACAAAACAGCCTTGTTTATTTACCCAGGCAGTTTGGGTTTGTAGCATGACAAAAATACTTTTTTTGTGGAAGAAGGAGATCAGACTTGTGCCTGTGGAAGAAGAGCATCTGTGCAATATTGAGGTGTCTTTTTGAGTTTGTTTGCTGATTAAAATGCTGAAAACCAAATTTTATTTCCAGACAGCATGAATTTGACAAGTAAATATGCAGCCAGCAAAAAAAACACCAGACACATTCAGTTCTGCTGGAATGAAAAATAAATTAAAAGTTATACAATAAGGTTTATCATCGGTCTTGCCTTAGCAGGTTTTTTTGCCGGTGACATTTTGTCATGCAGTTAACTGCCTTGATTTAATTTCATTCTTTACTGAAGATAAATCAGATACTGAGGCCATAGACCCTCTTGACTTTTCAGTGCTTGGTTTTGTAACCTTTGAATTACTGAATTGTGGTTTTTCTTTCTTATGGGCATGATATTCATAGTGGCTTAGGTGAACAGAAACTGGCAATGATCTTTCTTAGGTCACAGGTTCTCATTCTTTGAGTGAGAAAGTGACAGATCTAAAGTGTTGTCCTTTCACCGTGCTTCATTTTTTTTTGTTGGGTTTTTTTTGTTTGTTTGTTTGTGGGTTTATTTTCTGTTCTATGCAAAATAATTTCTGCTGAAAACTGCTTTGTTTCCTCAGTGAGAAACTGATACTTAATAGCTTAAGTATTCTGTAATTCCTGCGGAGCTAAATAAATTAAATTAAGGTAGTTACAAGACAGATTTTTTTTCCCTCCCTCAGACTGGACTCAGTACCTGTAATAATGTAATAGTCATAGTGGATCTTTTTCCATGAAGCAATTGTTACTCACAGGTTTCAAAGTCCTTTGAAACATGGAGCACTGAAATTGGACAGCAGTGTATGGGGAGGTGAGCAGTAGTTTGATGCACAGCCAGACAAAGCCACTGGTCACTTACTTACCAGGTCACTGCACAAGTCTTTCAAAGAAGTGCTTGGCTTTCCTCTGAAGGAAAGGTTGTGTTCTTTGTGATTGGCATTTGCAGTGATGTCAGATTTGGACGTTTTTAATTTTAGTTGATATGAAAGAAAATGCCAGAAACCGTACTAGGAATTTCTTGTCCAGAGGAGAAACATTCTCAAAGGCAGTGCTGATATATAGGTGTGTAGTCTGCAGCTAGTGATACCTTCACCACCTTTGTACCTGTCTGATCTGATCTTTCATCACATCCTTCACCCCTACCTGTCTGATCTGATCTTTCATCACATCTTAGCACATTCTTCACTGGAGTAAACCATGAGCAGGATATATGGTAAATGCAATGTTTTTCCTACCAATAGTACTGCAAAAGTTAGTTCGCCAGTTACCATACTGAGCAGAAATGACTTTGTGAAGTAAGAAATGCAGAAAGATGCTTTAGGTCTATGCCTGACCCCATTTAAACGTCAGAGTTTTAACTTTTGCTCGTGTATGAGACCCATCTGCAGCATGGGCCAGTTGCAGCAAATACCCTAAGAGTCCCAGAGGTTTTTGGTGGGAGTCAGATACAAAGCAATCCCAAGGGCATTGATTCTTTCCAGCTCCTATCATTAGAGACTGAGGGAGAGTCAGTTGTTCATTTTGATTTTTTTCTAGTCTTCTCTTTGGTCAAGGTTATTTATGTGCTTTCTTGAGTTTCTCCACTTTATTAAATGCATCACTCACTTGTTTTGTTTCTGTTTCTGTAGGAGCTTGATGGCTTGATAGAGATAAACAAAATGACTCACAAGCTTCTGAGCAGATACATGACCTTGGACAGCTTTGATGCCATGTTCAGAGAAGCCAATCACAATGTTTCAGCCCCATATGGAAGAATCACTCTTCATGTTTTCTGGGAACTCAATTACGATTTCCTTCCAAACTACTGCTACAATGGCTCCACGAACAGGTCAGCACCGCAGCCTTTTCATTTGCAGCCCTGATTCTACCACCCTCCTGCAGCTTCTTCCTATCGAGTGCTGGCAAGTCCATCTCCACTCATTTAGTGTTTTTCACTCCTAATGCTTTGCTTGAAATATGAAGCAGCATGAGCCATTTTGCCAAGTACTGTTAAATGTATGAAAACCTGTTATTTGTCCCCCAGAGAAGTCACATGTAACCACAGCATCCAGAGTCTGACCCTGTAATGGCTGAGTTACCATGTGCTGAAAAACAGTGTGTCTAAAAGCACTGCAAAATGCATTTCAGGAAGATATTTTGGCAAACAGGATCTTCAACTGTTCTATTCCTGATTCTGTGTTAATGTGAGAACAGGATTGTTTCCTGGGGAAGGGAAGAGTTCAGTACTCACTGCAGCTACAGTTGCAGCCTTTAAGGAGAGTGAGTAATGGAAATAGAAAGAGGAAGGTAGGATTTAAGGTTTAAATGAGGGGGAAGGCACAGGGTTTGAGATTTTGCATTTCTGGGCTTCCTGCTCCTGTGCTGTTTTTAGGATTTGTGTTGCTTTTAGCCTTTACTCAGGTTTTGGTTAAAGCCCTGTGCAGTGACAGGAAAGTGATGCTGAATATTGAGCTGTAGGAAGAGGAAGGAGCCTGTTCTCATCTTCCACTGCCTCCTTGGAGAGCTCTCCCTGTCTGACATGTTCTCTGATGGTTATGTTGTCATTTAGATCCAAGATTCTGTCTGCAGAGGGGAAAAAAGAGAGTGGTGATCTGTGGTTAAGTTTTAGCCAGGAAACTTCTGTTACATGAGTCTGTTTGCACAGAAAAGTCGAATGTATTCCCGAGGGAGCTGCTGTGCAGTGATTGTATCTGGAGATCAACGTTGGAATATTCAGTGTGCTGAATCATACAAGCATAATATTTAGAGAAAATCTCGATGAAATGCTTCTCCTTCATCTGTCAGCTTTAATGAAAGGCATTCAGTAGCTCCTCTGCAGTTTAGTCTGTGTTTGTGAGGGCTGATGTACTGCAGGCCACAGTGCTTGGGAAGCAAGTGTGAAATGCCAAGGGACATCAGCAGGACCCTGTAGTACTGAGGCTTGTCTGTTTGAAAACTATATCCAAGAATTGAGTTAGGCTGATCCTCAAGCTTGTTGGGGAATTAATTCAGGATAATCAATTTAAGAGATGGTGAAGGGAACCAGGTCTTGGGCAGTATGTGTACCATGTGTCTGATTTCATCACAGAATTGCTTTGGTTTCAGTCAAAAGCAGCAGTGTGGAGAGAATTAATCTGTGCTGCTATATGGTGCCCTTTGGTATTTTTGCTGAGAAGAGGGAACAGGGAATTTTTAGTGCTTTTATAGTTCTTAAGCACCTCATTATGCCTGTTGCTGCCTTGCTGTAAGCATGAGCTTTAAATTGGTAAGGTCTCTCAGCATGTGGCTGTACAGGTTATTGTGTGCAGCAGTACACAGTGAGGAGCTGTGTGAGAGCTGCTGGTTTAATTCCTGACTCTTGATAGGTCATGTCTTGCATGACATCTGGGAGTAAACAAGGGAAGAAAAGTAGCAATGAAAGGCTGGAAGAAAGAGAAATAATCATGATAAAATGCAGATAGGTGGTATGAGAGGTTGGAGGCAGTTTCCAGAAAACGTGTTACATTTGTGGTTTGCTTTTTATGAATTTGTCTTGCTGTAAGGGTCCTCGTTTTAAGGTTAGTGTGTTGGTCAAGTTAACTTGTATGCAGTACCTTTTGAAGCTCTTTTCCCAAGAGTGCTTGACCGTGATAATTTCAAATATCTGTAGGAGAGTTCACGTGTTTAAACCCTGCAGGTTGAGTTCAGAGGCTAAGGCTGTTCATGCAGAAGTGCTGGAACACATTGCATGTTTAATTATTTGAGACTTAGGAATATTTTTTGTAACTGGTAATGTACTGAGATTAAACAGTGAGACTGCTATTAAAAGATTTAGCAATTTAATAATTGCAGTGGCCATTTATCCAAAATGTGCTGTCATTAGTGCTGGCCAGCTGCTCATCTGTGGCCAGGCCTGGGGACCACAGTCTGTGGAGGAGGAATGGGGAGACGAGCGAGGACACCTCTCTGGATGGGCCTTAGCAGGGAATTCCAAGGGTGTTCTTAATCCACCTGTTGATGATCATGAAAGAAAGAGAACAAACCTTTGGATAGTGCATGAGCATATGAACTGCAGGTGAGGTCAGAGCCATCTCTGGTCCCGTGTCCTGGTGCTGTCAGCAGACAGGCAGAGGCCAAGTGTGAGCACAAGGGAGACTCAAGGTGGTTTTTCTCCTAGGAAGCATGCTGGCCTCCAGCAACCATTAGGTGTTGCTGGAAAGCAAATAGGATGGGATGTTAGTGCATTTCTGGCCCTTTACAGGTACATTTTTTCCTGCATTGCTTTGTCCTTTTTATAAAGCTGCCTGGGATTTATTGTTCAAGAGACTTCTCTCATGTTGGCTCTCAGTTGCATGTTTCTCCAAGCCAGAGGTCTATCCACACCAGCAATCTTTGTCCTGCTTATGCCTGCATCTGTACTTTTTCATTCCTTCCTATCCCTATGGAGTTAGGAGGTCTGTGGCTGTCCAGAGGATCCAAGTGACACAAAGGCAACTTCTACAATTCCATTATTTCTCCTTTTTCACTGTCTGCAGTGTTCCTTTTTCTGCCTTCTTTACTTATTCTAAGCTGGTCTTTTCCTTCCATGAGAGCTTGTTTTGTGTTAAGGACTAACAGAGGAGCAAGTGTGAGACAGACTGATATTTATCATCTTGACACAAATGACACAACTTTTGGAGGCAGCAGTCAGACCAGTAGCTCCATCTCCTCTCAACACATTATCCCAATCTGTATTCTCTGGTAAAAATTCACATGTATAGCACTCTTCCAAATGCAGTATGACATGTTTCTTCCAAGGATACAGATTTGTCACAGAATGAACAAAAAGACCAGCTCTTTATTTTTCACTCTTCCTGCCTGCCTCTCCCCCTTCCTTTTGCAAGCTCTGTCTCTCTCATACTGCTTTTGAGGTTAGTTTTCACAAGAGAACAGCTGTGTCTTCTTGTGTTGCATATACTCTGATAGTCACTGTTCAGAAGAAAATTCAGCCCTTTCAGACAGTGCTAGAGCAAACCTGCAAAGCAGCACTGGCAGTGAAAACTACCTAGTCTGTGCTACAGAGAGCCAAATGGCACAGGGATAGAGGCTCATGCAAAGTAGGGGTGACTGTAGTCAGCTACCTTTCCCCACCTGAAAAACCAACCAACCAACCAACCAACCAAAAAGCCTTTCTGCCAAAAGGAAAAGTGATAGCAATGGATTGGCAATTGGATCTGTTGCTCTTTCATGTGTTTTGCCTCCTGTTCCCTCACGCTGCAGTTTGTAGCCTCCTGTTCTCTCCATCTTGACATCCACGTTCAAGAAGGATCAGTTAGCTCTAACGTTCACTCAGGGAGGAGGTGTAGGGCTACCTTTAGATCTGGTACACAAGGCAAACTAATTTGAGAAGGCTGGAAGTTCAAAGTATTCAGACCAATTGGACAGGGAAGTGTGGAGGGACATTTTCTGTAGGAGCAGGGAGGGAAGGTTCTGGTATCTTATCACTTCTGAGATGAAGCTCAGAAAACATGAATGAGATTGTATCTGACCTGGTAGTCTCTTTCAGATGTTTCCTTAAATAGATTATTGGTAATTAGAACCACAGAATCATTTAGGTTATTTTGTGAAGTACTCACTATTAACTCCTTCCTGGTAGGTCTCGCAGAGACACTGATATTAAATAATATGATCCCTAAAATACTTTGGGGGCTCATGTTGTCCTTTGGGAATCACTGCTGCAAAGCTCTGGTAAGCCAGAAGGCTTTTCATCCGCTTAATCTACTTTGACTGCTTACAACCTGTGCTGATTGAAATGGATAAATTGCTGGGAGATCATCAACACTGATTAAAAATGAAGAGAACTGATTATCTTGGGGTATGCTGAAACCTGCATCCAGTCAGTATCCAAGGGAAAGGAAAAACTTGCTTAACTTTAGCATTGATGCTCAGTCCTTCGAAGAGATGTTTGTTTTCCTTGGGAGAGGAGCAGGAGGAAGCCAAGCAGCAGGATGGCAGAAAGGGAGCACATACACACCTTGAAAAAGTCTGAAGGGTAGCAAATGATGCTGAACTGTGACGGTTTCTATATAGCTGACAGTTTTGAGGGAAGGAATTTCTAATAACTGAATGAAATATTTGGATTAGTCACCTATCTCCTAGGACAATGCCTCTTGTATCTTTAGCCTTAGACATTGCCTTTCCATATCATAGCAAGTGACTGTAAGTCTTGCTCCAATTTCCTTGCTCTTTTTTTTGTTTTTCTTCTCTTGACCTCTTTCGCCCGAGAAAGTATAAAATAGGTTCTTGCTTCAAGTCCTTAAGAAAGCCTTAAGACTATTTTGCTATTATTCTGAGGTGTTAGAAATGGAGGAACCCCCAAGAATGTAGAGGAACACTGGGAAACACACACAAGTTACCTGTGCTTGTACCTGTGCTAAGTACTGAAACTTAGGGACTGAGTCTCAGACATATTTCTCCAGTATTAGATTTCTGAGGCTGTGATTTCTTCTCAATCCAAACACAGCCTGACTGGTTTGCTCCCTATGACATTATGTTTCAGATATATTCACAATACCTTTTTGCAGACCCTAAGAATGCCAGTTGTAGCTTCCAAAGTCATGGGAGGCACCCACTTTTCTATTTTGATACACTCTTCTCCTTGTGAGGGCTTTAATTTAGTGATGACAGATCAGCTCTGGCTCAATACATCTGCACACTGAAACCCAGTCTTAGATCAAATGACATGGTGTGTCTTATGATTTCTTTCATTTCAGAGATGTTCTTAGGGCTTGAAAATTGATGTCAGTTTAAAAAGGAATGGGATTTGGAGAGAAAAAGGGGGAATAGGGTAATCTCTGGCACTGTCACATGTTGCAGATTACTTTCTATTCCATCAAATGTTTACATCATCTCTGGTAAACTCATTAATGAAGTATCTGCAGAAAACAGGCTCAGGTAACAAAAAACTGAGTTTTCAGTTTCTATGTAAGTGAGAGAGACAGGGGGAAACTTGTAAACTGAGGAAATCTAAATCTAAGGAGTTTTAAATAATACATATTATCTAAAAGAATACATATAAATGATGTATTTTTCCCCAAAAGCTCTAATTGCAAATGCTTTCTGGATTGCAGCAAGTTCAAGTACCTTTGGAAAGATGGTCTGAACTAGGTATGAACAAGCAGCTGTCTCTGTTTGTGAGCAGGTTAAAAGGGACAGAAAACCTTGTCCTGAAGTTATAAATTCTTACAAGAATGATTCAGATTACTCAGAAATAAAACACAGTAGAAATAAGTGTAAGCAGCATGGTGTGATTTATACATGTCTGGGTGAAACAGATTTTTGATTAGCATGGCTGGTTTTGTTTTCAGCTAGAAAATGGATGTATTAAAAATAGAATGTCTGTGTTCTTTCTAGGAAAAGTTACTAATGAATAATTTATTTTGTGTGCTGATTAAATTAATACCCATTTTAAACAAAACCAGATCAAGATACAATTATATCTTATGATATGATAATGTACTTCAAACATCCTTTCCTGAAGCTTTGTCCTGGATACATTTATTTTGCTGAGTTATCACTCAGACCAGCCTGATCTGTCACAGTCATTTGGTGTACACTTCTTAAACAGCTCTTCTCCCTCTTTGCTGTGCACCATTTGCCATCCTTTTTATCACCTTAAAAAGGAAGCAGCCATCCACCCTGTAAACACATGCAGCAATCATTTTCTCAGCGTAGTGAAGCTGAGCACAGTCAGAATTGCAGTATTGTGTGCTGCACATTTCACAGGCAGTGCATGTCCTGGGGCAGCTCTGTGCTGCTGCTTCACAAGGAGCTGATGCTCACAGAGTTCTGCTCCAGCACAGCTCTTCACACTCCTTCCCTCGCAGCACATCTGCCTTGTGCACTGCTCCGTGTCTTTCCATCCTCTTAGCAGTATGCAAAGGGAAAGCTAAACATGATTCGTACTGGGACATGCTCACATGGAAGTATGATCAAACCTCTGAAACACTGATTTTGCTACAAGGATTGTACCCTCCCTCATGGCTGGTTTTAAAGGTAACAGTCCAACATGTTCATCCTGCTGTGAGTCTGGGGGGAAAAGCTCCTAAACATTGCATAGTAATGTTGTTCTTTGAGGTGTACTTTGTTCTCAGGACCATATTTTGGAAGCACAGGGAGCTTCCTTGCTCCTTGTGAGAGTCCAGTGCTGCTTTGTTAGTTGCTTCCCTGCTGGCTGGGCTGGAGTGGAGGTGAGGAAGAGCCCTGCAGGGACAGGGTCCCAGTGAGTGTTTGGCTGCACTGTGCTGTGTGTCCTGCTCTCAGGCTCCCCAGGCCTGCTGGGGCTGAAAGGCACCTCTGGCTTTGGGTTTGTGTGGAGACAGACAGTGGTGTACAGGGTGAGGGGCATTGGGTGCACACCTGCTGCCTAAGTATAATTAATGGATTCTTTATTATTTTTAACAGGTTTGTTCGGACTGTGCTGCCGTTTTCTCAGGAGTTCCAGCGAGATAAGCAGCCTAATGCACAACCACAGTATCTCTATGGAACAAAGGTTGGATTTAATTCCCTTTATGTTCATGGTTTGCTAATGTTTAAAGGTATCCTTCTAATTATAGACACTATGGTATATGGAAGTTACTAGAAATGGGCTGAAGTATGTTTTGTGAGTATTTTAAGTTGAACATACACTTTTTTCCAGACTCTGCTGTGAAGCTCACCGTGTTTCAGCTAATCTGACATAGCTAAAAATAAGTCCTCTCAACCCCCTTTCCCTGCACTGTTGCTTACAGCAGCAGAGCAGACTCAGAGAAAAGATTAATTACTCATCTGGAGAACAGGAGCCCATGCTGGGTGCAGCTGCTCCCTTGTGACAGTGATGGAGACAGTGATGGCAATAAAAATAAGGGATAGATAGGAAAAACTGGTTCAGATATTACCTGATTTGAAAGGGACATAGATTATCACCATCTTAAACTATCAGATACAAAACTGCTTAAATTATCTATAAAAACATGTCATGTTCCTTTGGCATCTTCAGCCCAAGGACCCTGAAGTCGTGGGGATGAAACTGGAGTTTTGCCACCTCATCTCCTGTATTAGCATCGTTTCCTGCATTGCAGGTCAGGAGGGCCTGGAAGCTTTATGCAAGTTTTCAGTGGAAGTGTACATGATCTGCAGTCACATTCTCTGTGCCTTAAGGCACTCCCCAGCGCTAAGGGTGGAAAGGAGCTGATGTGGGTGGCAGGGGGGAAGATGGCACAGGAGTCGTGGGCTTTCCTGGAGCTGCCCAGGTGAGGAACGTGAGCCTGTATTCACAGCACCAGTGCTGTGCCTGTGTGTAATAGATTGTTCTCCTCATCACTGCAGATTTGTGTGGTTATACTGCAGAATTATTACCTGAGTCTTAGTGACAGTTAAAGGCATAGCACATTAAGATATATCTGCATTTTAAATATCCAGTGAGAAATACTGCTTTCCTGGAGCTGCCCAGGTGAGGAACGTGAGCCTGTATTCACAGCACCAGTGCTGTGCCTGTGTGTAATAGATTGTTCTCCTCATCACTGCAGATTTGTGTGGTTATACTGCAGAATTATTACCTGAGTCTTAGTGACAGTTAAAGGCATAGCACATTAAGATATATCTGCATTTTAAATATCCAGTGAGAAATACTGATCTACTAGCAGTGATACCTGCAGCAAATCCTTCGAGAGCATTTAGCAAGGTGTCACTCTAAATTTGACACTGCTTTCTAGAGTATCATGGAGGCTCAATGGAGTACGGAAAAGATAGATGAAAATATAAAGATCAAATTATAGGATGGGAAAACCCCTTCAAAATTATGTACAAGTGATATGGCATATCTAATTTATACAAATGTGCAGTAAGTGTCACGTCTGGCTACTTTCATTATCTACCTCCCACTTAAGCATGAACATAATTAATCCTTGTCTTCCTGTTATTTTCCTCTCATCATATCCTAGTTATATGGTGCAATCTCTGACCAGCAATCTAGCTGAAGAGGTAGGTCAGAAGTTACAAATTTCAGTCCTAAAATATCTGCTGCATTTGTAAAACTTTCAGGTCTTTGAAATGTAAAGGAGGTGGAAGAGGATTCACATGTCTTAATGTGGAACCTAACAGCTCATTGTCTGGTCCTGTGAAGAGTCTTATGTAATTATTCTCCAACAGGGAACAGTAAATTATAGCAAAGTGGGATTTTCTTATATTAATGTGTTCCTTACTATTTTAGGAGCAGACCAGATGCAGTGTAGAGCAAAAACCCTACTGAATGTCATAGAGATTGCTAACTTAATTTATCTAAGTGATGATACAGTGGGGTGAGTGACAGAGGATTAACTGGGGAGCACTTTTTATTATCAGTCAGGTTACATTATTAAAATGAGTTGGTGATCTTTACTCTGAGAGCTACACATTTTCAGAAATCAGGTTATTTTTCTATATGAACAGGAGCAATGGAGAGGATTCTTCCTGGCTCTTCGTGGAGCAGATTTCATAACTAGACATGCCTATAGTAGCAAATATTCCTGACTCTCTGTAGTTTCAAAGTTTTGCAGGAGTGTATTTTTATTCTTGAATCTAATGTATTTTGAAATTGAGGATATCTGAATGAACTGCAGGAGGACATTGCTGCTGTACATAGCCAGTGGCAGGTCCCTGTGTGAGTGCTGTGACTGCAGAGTGTGCCCAGAGCACATCCTTGTTTGGGGCCTTTAGGAGTGACACTGCTCAATTGCTGCCTGACAGATAGTAATGGAACATGGAGTAGCTACGTTGGGGGTTTTGTTTGTCTTTTTTGAGTTCTTGTACTACTCAGGTTATTCAGGTGAGCACTTTGCATTGATCCTATAGATGAGAAATACATCTTTTCCTTACTGGACTTTTTTGTCTCTGGTTGGTTCAGGGTTTCTTGACGTTTTGGGGGTTTTAGAGTTGTTTTTTTTTAAGCAATGCATAGTGTGTTTATTTAGGTCAAGTAAGCATTTTGATTTCTTGTACATATGTGCACTCATGTGCACGTATTGGACTGTAATGGCTAAACACTTTCTGTGAGGAGGCTTTGCACAAGCAATGTGCTCACTTAAGAGCAATAAAGACATTTTTAGTTTTGGTCTCAGTGTTCACATACTCCCAGATATTTCTAAATAGATCAAAACATTGAGCTGTATTAATGTGTATGGACGCTTAGCATAGTTGTAGCAACATTCTCTTCTGCATCTAAGGTTTTCTGAGTGGTATCTTCATACGATTAGCAAAAGACAAACCACAGATACAGCTTCTTTTTTCTGGCTGATGTGGAAGCTGTCAGGTGGGAAGGAGCCGAATGCTAAAGCTCATCAGCCTTTAAGTGAGCTGGAGTGTTTGAAAAGCTCGTTGAGCATGGCCATTGAAATCCCTTTACGCAGGTAAAGTGTGTGTAGGATTGAGGAAATCAATGGTAGCAGGTTGAAATTTGGCAACATGGAGTGGGTGCCAAAAATATTTAATAGTGCACATATAAGAAAGTGTCTCTTCTGAGGATTTGAACTAACTTTGCACATTAATGAAATACCTGGTTTTATAGAGGTCATGTAGGCCAGAATTTAAGAGCTTTCTTTCTGTCTTAGACAATATTTTCCAAAGATTTTCATGTTTATATGTCTCCTGCATTTTGTAGATTCTAACTCATTTGATTTTGGAAAAAAATAAACCCCTTGGAAGGTACTTCTCAGTGGGAGTATAATGGTTTTTGTCTACTGCTGGTGCACAAATTTGTTTGCATTATGTTGCAATTTGTTATCAGTTTGGTAATCCCTGAGAATGTTTACCCCTTGCTAGGTGACTGTTAAAACTGGACAGTGAACTACCAAAACACAGAATTGTCAGAATGAATCTGAATGAATCTGTAGGAAAACTCTCTGAGCAAGGGTGAAGGGTCAAGTAGCTCCGTGAGGATGTGCTGACGTGAGTTCTTCGAAGCTGGTGCAGAAGATGAGGACACTGTGCTTTGCCCATGTGCAGCAGGTGTGAGATGGTCCCTCACTCCTGAGGTGATACAAGTGTTTGTCTCAGTAGTGCACAGTAAAGTCTGTGGGTGGAATATTTTGATGAGGTAAATCCCTTTGAGAACACTTCCATGGTAGCTCTTTTCCTTCCCAGTTTGATATAGATGAGTCTTTTTGGATATATGTGCTTGTGTACAAAGAAGAAAATTCAGTAGGTGAATTGTCTCAAAACTGCTTTAAGACTGAACTCCTTGTAGGGTATATACATGTGTATAGAACATAAATATATGTATTGGACTGTTTTAAAACTGCCATAAAGAAACAGAGATGCAGAGAACTAAACAGGTTTTCAAGGGCCCGAGGTGTTGGCAGATGGGAGTATGTGTCTCTTGGCTCCATCCCTTTAACATTAAAATCATCTTTTCTTTGATGAAAACATAGAGAAAATTTACAGAGTTACTGTAAATTTGATTACAATTTTAAACTTACTTTAAAGCATTTTTTTCTTGTTCCCCTCCACTCAGCCACCCCTTTTTGGCAGTAAACCTGTATTGTTGGCTTCATGCTCTGAGGACTCAATTTCATGAAACACCTTACAGCAGTAAACCCTTGTCATCCTCACAGTTTATTGGAGACTGTTGTGCAGGACAAAGAAAAACGTGTCAGCTGGAGGAAATGCTCTGCAGGGGGTGGAGAACATGTTCATGCTAACTTCACACAACAAAGATCCCTTGGAAGTGTTTCCTAAAAGTAATCCTCGCCCCCATTCAGCACACGTTTCAGTGTGTCATACTTAGCCTAGGGAAAAAAAAGCAAAGATACATCCAACTTATGCCAGCTTGTGTCTTCCTAGCAGTATGAGAGCTGATGCCTTTCACAAGTTGTGGGAAATGTTGTCAAAATACAGTAGCTGGAAAGACCTGCTGCCTGCTGTGAAATACTTGTTGGGCACTCTCTTGCCAAAATTGTACACCCCCTTAGCTTCCAGGGCCTGGTGTGCCAGTAAGGGCTGGAGCTGGCTGGGGTGGCAGCTGCCATCCCAACAGGCATTGATGGGCTGATTGATTGATTGATTGAGCCATTCCCCAGGCAGCAGTGCCCCAGCCCTTGCTGGTACAGCTGAGCTGTGTGTGGAGCTGACCCTGCTCTCACCAGGAGCAGTTCAGAGCACCTGCAGCACAGTGTGCCTTTGGGTTTCAGGCATAATACACACTAATGCAAGGACTAATTCTGCTGTTATGGAACACAAATGCACTTAAGAGATTTAAAACAGGGTGACATAACAGGCAAGTCAGATGAGTCCTGTCATGTTGTGAGGGTGAACAGATTTGTGTCCAAAGGACCTTGGCACTTTGCCATGAAGCTCAAGGCAGAGTGAGATGATCAGCAGATTTTCATACAAAAATAAAATGTGCTTCGGCATGTTTTTGCTATCTTGCCCCCCTTCATTGCACAAAGTGTGCTGTCCAGTTGGAAAGAAATTTGCAGTTGATTAATGAGATAATAACTGAAAAGGAAAAAGGGGAGGAAGGGCCAGGAGCTGCTTCTCTGAATTGCATTTCCTCTGCGTGGAGTCACTGGCCTGTGGAGCAGGAGGTACTTGGTGGTGGGAGCAGAAGAGTGCAGGTGTATTCTTAGCTACAGGTGTCCCTACAGAGTCGCTGTCTTGATGTATTTGGAGTGAGGGGAAATTTCAAGGGCAGGTGAAAGAAACCCTTAAAATCCTGGTGGGTTCAGTTTACATGCTGGAACTCGGTGCCAACGGGAGCTGTGGAGAGCACCGTGGGCAGTGGAGAATGTTGTCTGAGTGTGGTGTGTGGTTTGGGAAGCAGCTGGAATTGTTGGGGTAAAACACACTGGCAAACCACTGCACTCTGGGTGTACATTCCAGTTGCCATCTGAAAGCTTCTGCTCAGCTTTGTTAATGCTAGCGAAAGAAAAACCACAAAGCTTCTCTTGGTCACAGGATTAATTTTTATATTTGTTTGCTGGTTTAGACTAAAGAAAAGCAACGAAAACCACCCTTGAAATGTTCACCCGTTATTTGCCCCGTGCCGAATGTTTAAATCCTGGAGCGTGACCGAGGTGCTCCGTGCTGGGCCGTGTGAAGCTCTGGGTGCCCCTGGCTGCACACAGGGCTGTGGGGAAGGGATGGGACCCCAGGGCAGCAGCCAGGAGTGCTGGGGGAGCAGCTGGAGCTCTCTGTGGGGAGCACCGACGCCTGGGGTGTGTTTGGAGCAGTTGGGAGGTTGTATGCAGTGAAAACCTCCTCCCTGGCCAAAGCTTTCTAATGCCCAGCAGAGCACGGTCCCGATGCCGGGGCTCGCTCGCGGCCGTGGGAGGTGGGCAGGGGCAGGACGGGCTCGTCGCGTGCCGAGGGGTTCTCTAGGATCGTGGCCAGCTGGATGCCACCGGGGTGGTTTTCCTCAGCGTCCTGCAGCAGTTGGCTGTGCCTGCTGAGCTCCTGCGAGGTGCCCCCCGTGCCTT